GGTGGCCGGCAAAATCATCGCCATGACGCCCGCCGTCACCACGGCACCCCTGTATGCGTGGATGGTGTGGTGTGTAGCCCGGGGCGTGGCGTGGGACGAAGAGGTTTGGGACCCGGCGGAGGTGCTACACCAGGCAGGCTTGTTTATGGAGCTGCTGGGCAGGCGCAACGGGACAGCCACCTGGCGGAAAGGACCAGCCCTACGACTGACGACGGAACTAGTCGGGGACGCCTCAGACAGGGCCTTCGCAGCCTTCTTACCTGGAGAAGAACTGGGCGCCAACAGCCGCATGCTTGTGCCCTTCAAAGCTCAGGAAACCCAGCGGCTGCAGCGGAATGACTTTAGCAGCACAGAAAGAGAACTGCGGGCGCTGCTGTACAGCTTGCACTGGTTGCGAGAGCAGGCACCAAACCTGTTGTACGGCCGGACAGTGCAATACCAGACGGACAGCCAACCGGCGGAATTCTGCATGGTTGGGATGAAAGGCAACGCCGCTTGCCTGCCCATAGTGGCGGAGATCCATCGCCTCTGCGCGGATACGGACACAGACATTTCAGTGGTGTGGTACCCACGCAGCCGGGAACAGCAGCAGCAGGCAGACGCGCTCAGCAAATACGAAGATGGATCACAGTGGCGAAGTATAAGCACTGGATGGGGCTGCCCTTTTCGGGAGCCGCAGCCGTCATGTGGCCAACACATGCTAAGGTTTTCATTCCTCGTTTAGCATATAGTAAGGTAATGCAGTTTCGTTTATGTTGCTGGGCTTTGGAGCCAAACAGAGCATGAAGGGGCAAGTACCACGTCCCCAGGGGGCAGCGGTTTTGCCACTGTTGTGGTACTAATAGCCGAATTGAGGATGTGAACCCCTGTTATTGGAATGCCCAGCCTATAATGATATTCGTGCTGAAGAAGGATTCGATCATCAACAGAGCATGTTGGAGGCCATGCAATGGGAACCCGCACGTCTGGCGAGGAAATTGGAACGTATGTGGGCTCACCGAAACTCAATTACCCCCTTTAGACGCTAGTCTGGGCTGATGTGCGGTGTTTTCCTTTCCTCCGTGGCTTTTAGGCGTTGTAGTATTACCCTTGGGCCCTCGGCTCGTATGGGTAATCTTACAGGTATGGGGTCACGCACCCCCAACCATGTAACACACACACACATAACACGTCTTCGTCGCAATTAAGCCCGTGAAATTTTACGGGTGCTGTGCATTACGGCTTGGGGGATTACGGGTCAAGACCTTGTGATTACGGGTAATGTAACCTGTGGATGACTTCCAGCACGGGCAACCAACAAAATGTCACCTGTGTTATTCCTTATAAAAGGAATGCTTTGGCAACTTAAAAATAAGCATGTGTACAAATTTTCTTGGCCGGTAATTACATGTGAAGACCACGTGATTACGGGTAAACATGAATTTACGGGTGAAAACCTTTCCCAGAGTGTATGTGTGTTGACTATCGCGCAGTCAACAGCCTCACGATCAAAAATCGTTTTCCGTTGCCTCGGATAGATGATTTGTTGGATCGTTTGCGAGGTGCGACAGTTTTCAGCTCACTCGATTTAACGCAGGGTTATCACCAGTTATGGTTAAATCCTAGCGATGTGGAGTGTACCGCGTTTCGCACTCCTTTTGGGCATTATCAGTATAAAGTTATGCCTTTTGGCCTGACTAATGCTCCTGCTGTCTTCCAGTCTGCCATGAATCAAGCCTTGCAGGGTTTGCCGTTCGTGGTAGTGTATCTGGACGATATTCTGATCTTTTCAAAGACCGCCGATGAACACGTTGAGCATCTGCGTGCAGTGCTTGAACGTCTCGAACAGCGTCAGTTCTACTGTAAGCTGTCCAAGTGCGAGTTCTTCAAACCGTCCGTTTCGTTTTTGGGGCATATCGTATCGGCCGACGGTGTACAGCCCGATCCTCGGAAGACTGCTGTTGTCCAACAGTGGCCTGTGCCCAAGAATGTTTCGGAGCTTCGATCTTTCCTGGCACGTGTGACAGCTGTCAGAGGGTAAAGGCAGATACCAGTCTCCCTGGTGGTTTGCTTCTTCCTCTGCCGATTCCTGATCAGAAGTGGTCTTTTGTGACCATGGATTTTATTACTGATCTGCCTCCCGATCCTGATGGCAATACTTCGATCTATGTGTTTGTGGACAAACTCACCAAGATGGTTCGGTTTGTGCCCTGTAAGGCCTCTGTTGACTCTGTCAAAGCGGCTGAAATCTTCGTCAACACCATTGTGTGTTCGTACGGTGTTCCATCTGTCGTCATTTGCGACAGGGATCCTAAGTTCACCTCTGCCTTTTTCGAGTCGCTTTTTGATGGATATCAAATCGACTTGCGTCGCAGTTCTGGTTATCATCCTCAAACGGATGGCCAAACAGAACGTGCAAATCGTGTTCTGGAGGATATGTTGCGTCATTTCGTTTCGGGCGATCAATCCTCATGGTCCCGTTATCTGCCGATGGCTGAGTTCACCATGAACAATTCGTTGCATGAATCTACGCGAACTACTCCTTTTCGGTTGATGTACGGATATGAACCCCTAACTCCGGCTTCTCACCTGGTTCGCAAATTGGGGGAGGAGAGTGCCAAGACGTGCTTGCAAAGCGTGGCCAAACTGTTATCTGTTAAATTCAGTACGGATATGCAGAATGCTTTGGAACGAGCTAAGTCTTGCTTGGCTGCTGCTCTCGGATGAAGAAATGGGCTGACAAAGGTCGCTCGGAACGAGGACTTTCTGTTGGTGATCGTGTACTCTTGAGTACGAAACACATGACTATTAAAGGTGTGCGCAAATTGCTGCCTCGCTTTATCGGAACCTTTGTGGTTAAGGAAAAGATCAACGCGGTTGCGTATCGGTTGGATCTTCCTCCTGTGGTGCGGATACATGTATTTCATGTGTCACTCCTTCATCCATATCACGATGGTGGTCGCGTTCAGCTACCTCCGCCACCTCAGATTGTTGAGGGTGAATTGGAGTTCGAAGTTGAGTCTATTCTACTTCATAAAGAAGTGAAAGAAGGATGTCGACAAAAGTGTTTCTACTTAATGTGTTGGAAAGGTCAGGGCCCAGAATTTGATTCATGGGAACCCGAAGCGAACCTAACTAACTGCGGCGATTTGTTGCGCGACTACTGGGCACGTCAATCTGACTCAGTTCCAATCTCGAAGTCCCAAGGTCAGGCGACACTTTCGGGTGATGCTGACGCTTCTGGCTCGAAGCCGCATCGAGCCCCTCAGACTACTCGTCACGGCCGTGTGATCAAAAAGCCTTCGCGCTTTAATGCTTTTCTCAACCACTTGTCTGTCACCAGCGGGGTTCCGGAATCCCTGCTTTTTCCTCTCGTGTGGCGGTGAAGCCAAGGTTGGCTGGCTGTCGGGACGACCAGCCATTTAGGGGGGGAATGGTGTAACGTGCAAGAGCAGTTACATAACTTCAATGCTTCTCTTCAACGGGGTTCACGTAGCTATTCTCAAGACCTTCCTTTTGCGACATCGTACATTAGTGCGGGTCGTACACTGGATCTTCTCTGGTGTATCGCATCCAGTGTCTTTTGACACCACCATGACTGGTTGTGATAAGCCTTAACGTAACACCTGCCATGTGGACACCCAAGTGCCAGCAGGCTTTTGATGCGTTAAAGCGTGCGGTCGCCGACGACCTCATCCTCCGTTTTCCCGATTACTCATTGCCGTTCCGTGTCAAGGTAGTGACTGACGCTTCTCTTTACAGATCCGGTGCTGTTCTGTTGCAGCAAGGCCGTCCTGTGGCTTTTACGAGTAGGACGTTTTCGGATGCTGAAACCTGTTACACCACCGGGGAACAGGAATTACTTGCTGTTTTACACGCTTTAAATAAATTGCGCTGCTATCTGGAAGGCAGGCCTTTTACGCTGAAAACTGATCATAAGCCCCTTATGTTTCTCCAAGGTGTGCCTTCATTAAACCATCGGCAGGCTAGATGACTGGAATATTTCGCGTGGTTTAATTTCGACTGGGAGTATCTGTCTGGCTCGTTGAATGTGGCTGACTCTGTTAGTCGGCATCCTTCACTGCATTCAGCCATCCTGTCTGTCACGACTCGTCACACCGCTTCCCTGGAGCGGTCGGCTTCAGCCTCCGTTCTGTCTGCACATATTAAGGCTGCTATTGCTACGGACCCTTGGTTTACTGACGTTAATAACACGGGTCACCTCCTTTTGCAAGACGGTCTTTGGCTCTGCAGGGAAGGCTCTTATCAGCAAATCGTCATCCCTAATGATGACTCCCTGTGTCGTGAGCTACTTTCCTGTTTCCATGACGGTCAGTTGGCGGGGCACCCTGGCTGCACACGGATGGTCGAAATTCTTCGGTGTTCTTTTTGGTGGCCACGGATGGCTAAGGATGCCAAGAATTACGTCCTCTCCTGTGATTCGTGCCAGCGCAACAATTCTATCTCTGGTAAGCCTCATGGACTACTACAGCCTTTGCCTGTGCCTGCGGCCCCTTGAGAGAGTGTGTCCATGGACTTCATTGTTGCGCTGCCCAAAACTGAGGGGGGATATGACGCGGTGTTGGTTCTGGTCGACCACCTGACTGTTGTATCCTGTAAAGGTTTTCTGCAACGGTTTGGGCGCTGAATCCTAACTGTCGGTGGTTATCTCGTCCACTCTGATTTACCGAACTTCAATGATACTAACTAACACCCATCAATTCCGCTGTCAGTGGTTACAGGTTTTAACTAATACTGCTATTAGTTTAATTGCGGCTACTGTTAGCTGCGGCGGCTAAAGTGACTACTGTTAGTCATCCGCCACCTTAATGCCGCACAGCTGCGGAAGTCCATGGGCGCCGGCGGCTAAAGCGACTACTATTAGTCGTCCGCCATTCAAATGCCGCACCGTTGCGGAAGTCCATAGGTGCAGGCGGCTAAAGCGACTACTGTTAGTCGTCCACCATTCACGTGCCGCACTGCTGCGGAAGTCTATGGGTGCAGGCGGCTAAAGCGACTACTATTAGTCGTCCACCATTCAAATGCCGCACCGTTGCGGAAGTCCATAGGTGCAGGCGGCTAAAGCGACTACTGTTAGTCGTCCACCATTCACGTGCCGCACTGCTGCGGAAGTCTATGGGTGCAGGCGGCTAAAGCGACTACTGTTAGTCATCCACCATTCGAGTGCTGCACTACTGTGGAAGTCCATATCTGCATATGGGTGCGTTGCAGCTACTGTTAGCTGCAGGCGGCTAAAGCGACTACTGTTAGTCGTCCACCGCCTTAATGCTGCACCACTGCAGAAGTCCATACCTGTGTATGGGCGGGGGTTTTACCTACATAAAGCTGGGACCTGCGTCCCAGTTTTGTCTGACCGAGCGAACTATGGCTTCTGGATACTGTGCCACCCAGTCATACTGGGGATTTTTATCGGCACGAGGCCCAAGTGGAGTCACTGATGACTATTTATTCAAGACACTTGTCTCACTCGGTATCTTTCGATGCCCCCATTATGTGGTTGTGTCGTTTGAACTCTACAACACCGTGATGAAAGGCCACCGGTCGTGGGTAGGCCAGAAAGGTGTGACAAGGCAGAGCCGGGACTTGCAGGCCTCAGCGCTGCAACACCTTGAGGAGGAGGTGAAAGGGCGGGTTCACCCAGCACCTGCACCCCCATGAGAACCTGAACGTGTCGACTCCAGACATCGTTGGGGTAAAGTAGCAGGAGTAGTACACGGGAAGTTGGAAATTCGCGTGGGATGCAAATAGGTCGATCTCGAAGGGGCCCCAGGTGTCATGAAGCCGGCGGAATATGCTGGGCTTCAGCATCCAGTCATCGGGGTCAGTTTCGAAAGTGCATCAGCGAGCTGGTTCTGGCCGCAGGGTCGCCACTCCGCTTGCAAGCGGATATCCTGTTCGAAACAGTAGCTGTGCAGCTCGCAGGCGACCTTGTGCGAGTTGTCCACTTTTGTGGAGCCCTTGTTGACGACATTCACGGTGTTAAGGTTGTCAGTGATGACCTTAACCGACTGACCAGAGAGACCGGCTGGGCTGTCAAACGATTGAACCGCATGCAGAATGGCCTGGAGTTCCTGTGGGGTAGACCCCATGGTGCTGACGTCAGGCGTCCACTCGCCGCACGCTGGCGCCAACTGGCCATTGAGGATCATCCAGGCCCCAAACCTCCGAGGGACTCGTAGGATTTGCCAGCGGCATCACAAAAAATGAGGGAGTGAACCACGGACGGAACCCACAGGTGCCAGCGGCCGTTGTACCGATCAAAGGACGACTCCCAGAAAGTCAGCTCCTCCTGCGTGTCATCAGAGAGGGAGAGGTGGGTTTCCCAAGTCTGGCGAGTTTCAATGAGTTGACCGAGAGCTCGGGGATGCAGCCAGGCCCAAGGTCCAAGGGCCCAAGACATGGACAGTAGTTGGCCTTTTATGGATGCCAATAAATGGCACCATGAGTGCGCAATACCGCACCGTGAGTGTGCAATTGATTGCAGAGAGGAGGTGGTCCCGCTTGTCACCTGGCACGATGAAAATGCCATCCTTGGTATTGATAAGCATGCCCGAGTATCTAATGTGATGTTGCACGGCCCCCAGCATAGATTTCTCTTTATTAACCAGGAAACCGAGTGTCTCCAACTGAGCAACCACTTCGGCCCTGCACCATACCAAGTTATCAGCATTCTGGTCTGTGTGAACCTGATCATCTATGTAGCCCGAGCATTGCCAGCCGTGTTTGCGCCAGGGGTGCATGACCTCTCGCATGAGCTTCGTGAACGCCCAGCAAGCGGAAGTGAGACCGAAAGGCAGTTGTGTGAAGACATAGAAGACCCCTCTCCAGCGGAAGCCGAGATATTCCCAGAATCTTGGATCGATATCGAGGTGATGGTAGCTGCTTTTAAGGTAATCGTCTGGGAGTAGCCAACCAGGAACCGCCTTCAAGTCTTCATAGCGGAAAGAAGGGACACGCAAGTAATCGTTGACCAGCCTGCCGTCCCAAATGAGCCGGAGCTTAGTTGCCTGCTGCACGACCCCCAAAGGGCAAACCATGCGAGGCTGCATCGGCCATACGCGGGCTGTGCCCGACGCCACCAGATCCGTGACGGCATTATCCATGAACGCGGTGTTGGTGGTTGCCAAAGCATGATTGCGGCCTGAGTGCTGGGGGGGAGGGCTGGAGTCCCGACAGAGTGGGAAGCCCAACGTGATCCATGAGATAACCAGTGCGTTCACAACCCAAGCCTTCCAAGCGCTCTTTTTACCGGAGAGGCGTCCTCTCATCTAGGGCGGCGTGGAAGGCTGACCCACGGCTGGAGCCGACCGAACTCCCGGCGCTGTTGGAAGCATGACTAGAAAACTCCCCTTTATCCTACCAGAAATCACCCGGGGCCTCAACCTTCGCACCTTCTGGCGCCAACGTGGGACAGGCTGGTTGTTTCCGATGTGTGGCCAGATTTGCTGGGGCTGGTGCGGGGTCCAGGTTTGGCCGACGGGCAGGGACAGCGCCCGGTGCAGGCCATTTGGGGGCTGGCATGTCGTCGGGGGCTGCGGCAGGTGGGCTGCGGCTGACCTAAAAGGTGCTGCCCATTGAATTGGCTGGCATTGCGACTGACAGACAGCTGGACGTCTTCCATAAGGCCCGATCGCGAGAGGGCCTCTACCCCTAGCTCTGACAGGAAAGCAATGGCATCGTCATGAGAGAACGAATCCATGGTTCCTCAGACGAAAATTCACTGGCGGTTATGAAGGCCTGCGAGCGTGCACCGGACGGACTGTTGGAGACACGGTGAGCGGCAGCGGTGAGAAAGTAGAACAACACTTAAAGAAGTATGACAGGCAAAGTCGGGTCCCCCAGCCGGCCGGCTGCCAAGGAGACTTGAATAGGCCGCTTGGCCTGACACGAATTATCCAAAAAATACGGCAACACTGCCACAGAGTGAACCCGTACAACGGTCTGTTCACAACCTCAATTCAAGAAACATGATAGAAAGAATATGTGGGAAAAGAAAGACACCATGAATAAAAAAGCATTCAATGATGCTCACATCTGTGCTCACGGGCCCCAACAACTGTGCACACAGGCGCCTCAATTGCACTCACGGGTGCCCAACTCGATGCTCGCTGGCAACTTCATCACAACCAAAAAAGATTTCTCCTGCACACACTGCGCTGACCGGCGATGGTCCTTAAAGAAGTGAAGCGGCACGTGGGCCTGAAAGACGACAGGGCACATGGGCCCTGCCTTACGGCACCAAAGCTTGAACTCCACTACTTGCCGCTGCAGCCTTCCTTGCGTCCATTGCCATTGTGATTGCTGAGATCGTGGTGCTCTGCATCGCCCCTGTGGCTGCTGCCGTGCGATCCACCACTGCTGCCTCCACCACCAGAGCCTCCAGCACCGCGAGAAAGGCTGCCACCATGACTGCCAGGCGTGGAGGCACTCACCATCCACAAGGCCCAGTCCTTCTGCTTCCACACAAGGGCCTCGGCTTTTTCACCCTTGGGGATCCGCATGCCAATGATGTTATTGAAACAATGGTCTGCAGCTGTCAGACCAACACGGGGCTCCAAGGCGAGCTGGTGTGTAACCTCAATGCTGATCTGAAGCTGAAGCGGGTCAGTCCACTCGGCAGCCTTCTTGTAGCAGCCACCATCAATGTAGCTGTGGATGATCTTGTAGCAGCTGGCCGCTGAAAGGCTGTACGGTGTGCTGTAAACAGCACCTGACGTCTGGAAACAAACATGCCGTACCACCATCGTTCCGTGCACCTAACTGCATTTGCGCCAGTGTTCTGTGAGCAGTGTCTGCGGAGTTTCTGAGCCGTCAAATGTTCAGCTTTATATGTGCAGAAGGCATTTGGGGCGACTTATGGCCGAAGTAATGCGAGCTTGCGTAAGTGTAGCAGCTGACCGCTGAAAAGGTCTCTCGAGTTGCTGGCGGTCGCGCTCTGCGCGTATTTATAGCGCCGTACTGTGTACCGGCTGCTACATTCCCCCCCCTTTGAAGGGAACCGTCCCGGGCCCTTAGAGCCTCGTATGCCACCAGCCTGTGCCTACCTTCGCCTACCCTCGGGCAGTGGGTAATTACTCCACGTAACGTCATGTGCCGGCTCACATGCGCCTAGCCGTCTTCAGATTTTTCAGGCACAGAGACAGTCCAGTCGGTTCAGCTACTTTTATAATTTGTGCGATATTCGCTCTCTGAGTCGCCACACCCGAATACCACTCGAACGTGATCGGTGGGGGTTGAACCGACGACTTCAGGATCGTGAATTTTCACGAGGTCTCGATACCAAATGTAGCAGCTGACCGCTGAAAAGGTCTCTCGAGTTGCTGACGGTCGCGCTCTGCGCGTATTTATAGCGCCGTACTGTGTACCGGCTGCTGTAAGCTGGGTTAGTTGGGTGTAAGGCCCAGTGCGTAACTGTTAGACTAACTGTTTCACAACGGCCCGTGTCCTCAGGGCCGTCATTTATTGCGCGCATTAAGCTGGTTAGATTATCTTGTTTTTGTTGTTCAGCGCGCGCTGATCAACAAAACAGGTCCCGCGCCTTCGGCGCGCTTTCTGTTACTACACCGCTGTGCCTTCGGCTCGTCAGCGAGACCCATCGGGTAGAGTGCAGTGGAGAATATAAAGCACTAGCACCATAGAGTTAGCCCACCTTATTGAAGCACCTTTAGTAGTGCTAGTGGCGGCGCATGTCCCGGTATCGCTAGGCATGACTCCGCTGGTGGAGGCAACTCACAGCTATCCTACATAGCTAACTGGAATGTCACAGACTGGCATTTCCTCGAGGGCTTCTGCGACGCAGTTTATGCCCCGTGCTTTCTCCGGAGCGGGTCAACAACTCCCGCCCACCCCGGACCCAACAAGCTTGCCCCTGCAGCTACAACACTAAATGTCCTCTTGACGACGTATTTCATCAAGCTCATCCCCGAGGTTTGGGCGCGACGCTGAAGGTTTGCTCTTCAGCAGATCAGGAAATCGACGTCCACCCACACCGGTGGTGGCTATGTGTGCGCTTCGTCCCATCCCTTCCGTGTGGCGACGGGCTCTACAACCCCAGGCGTGGAGTTTCCGGGGCAGCACGAGTAGTCCGATATGTCCACCACCTCCGTGCCCCTGCATGCTAGGGCCTCGGCGCGGCTGGCCGCTTGGAAGGCAATTGGAGCAGATGCGTGCACATTGCACGTCTTGAAGCATGGTGTCCCGGTGGAGTTTCGAGGTAACCGCCCACCGCCTGCTTTTGACCTGCCAAGTTTTCCTGCTACAGACGAGCAGAGCCGTTGGTGGTTGGAGAAGGAGGAGCCTCGCCTGGTGGCTCTCGGGGCCATCTCGCCGTTAGACCCCTCCCGTGCGGTTGATCATGTGGTGAATGCTTTTTGTGTCCCGAAACCGGACAGTGGTTCTTGGCGTTTGGTCGTTAACCTGAAGAGGATGAACGTAGCGCAGAAAGCTTACAAGTGCCGGTATGAAACCCTCCGCACCCTGCGGTGTATGGGCCTCGAGGGCTCCTGGATGGTGAAGGTCGATTTGGCGGACACCTTTTACCACATCCCTATTCGCCCAACGGATCGGCGTTTCTTCACTTTTCATTTTTGTGGTGTTCTGTACGAGATGAACGCCCTGCCTATGGGGTGGCTAAATAGTCCGTATTGGTTTACGAAAATCATGCGCAATGTGGTGCATTTTTGGCGGGATCCTTTGGCTGCATCGGGTAAAGGTCGCAAGCATCTCTCACCCCCGCTCCCGCCCCACCAGTTTTTTCCCGTTTCCCGGACAGGGCGTCCTTCTCGTCCGGGTGCGCGAGTGCTGCCGTATTTGGATGACTTCCTCTTCGTGTTTAGTTCTGAGGAGCAAGCGCGTCTTGGTGCGCGCTGGGTGCATGAGAGTATCGAGTTCTTGGGGTTGTCGTGTCACCCCACCAAGTGCCAGTGGGAGTGTAGCAAGCTACATTTACCTTAGAATATCTTTAAGCTATTAAAGCTTAATCACAGTAACGGTACGGTCCCGTATTTATGAACCATACTCGTTAACTGTACGAACTCACTTTCTGGTACGCTATCACAACCTAGCGTACGACACCAAGACTCCAGGAATGGAGATGGCGGCAGGTGGGCCGCATTTAAGCCACCCAGGTGAAGTGCTTCGGCCAGACACTTATCGTATCACTATACCAGTGTTCGGATGTTCAAGACTCCGCTGTCACCGTTCTAGACGTATGTCTTCGAATCCCGACTTCCCTTGTCTCTTCTCGCGCCTAACGCTGGGTCGCCAATCGTGGACGAGACCCTCTGCTTCCGCTAAAACAGCTAAGGTAAGAGACGGCTGTTACATTTTGGTATCGACGATCATTTGTTCGGTCCTCGCCTCACATTGCGCCGCAGCAGTTACTCACCCATTGTCTGAGTCTTAGACTCGACTTTCTGGAAATGGTTCCTAAGCCTATAGCTAAGACTAAGGCTGTTTCTTTGAGCGATGCTAAGCACGTTCCTATTCCGCGACCGAAGTCTAAGACTACGGCGCAAATTCCTGCCGATGCTACAACCGCTTCGGACCCACTTCGCGTTGCGAAAATTAAAAAGCGCAAATTAAGGAAACAATCCTTCGCTTCGCTTCGTAAATACCTTTCCTCTGTCCCTGTTGATAATGACCTTCAGGACACGATGACGCCAACTGATCACGTGGCGACTGCCCTCGACACTACTGGCAATGATGCGGTTGACGCGACGACAGAAGTTCCCAAAGCCAAAGCGCCTGGCACTTTGGTTGAAACTTTGCGACAGTCAGTGCCGAACCGCGTCGGCGCCTTGGAGCGTTCCCTGGAAGGAACGCACCAGGAGATGGCAGAACTTCGTGACGACATTATATCGTTACGAAATTCTTCACAGCGTGTGGAGACGCAACTCCAGGAGTTACTCTCCAAGCTGTCAACGCCCTCAAGCCCACCACCTCCCAATCCACGGTCCGTGGCCATTTGCAAGATAATCCAGCAAGTGGCTTCATCTTCCTTGGCCGTCATCCTGTCAAAGGAGAGCCTCCAGGTCACCGCTTTTCAGGCGGCCCTGGACTCCCTGACGAGATAGAGCCGGAGGTTACCCTGGAAGAAGTCCGGAAGCTTTGGGACACCGGTGCGGTGGAGAGCGGCCCTGGCGGTAGCGCTACGGACTCCGACTCCGTGCAGCCTGCGCTACAGCCCACGGGCAAAACGCCGCGTGCCGAGGTGAGTACGCAGAAACGCGTTCCGCTTCCCCCAAAATTTTCGGGAAAAAGGGATACGCATATTACTTGCACCCGATCATGGTTCGAGTTCCTTTTGCAATACTTAGACTTAATGCAAATGGACCCGTTAGAGCACTTTGAGGGTCTTTCCATTGGCTGGTCGTAAATTTTCGTAGATTCTCCTTAGGGCCGGCCGGGCCCGCCGTACCTCCTTTTTTGGGATTTCTTGCACAAACTGATAATATAGATGTAAACGAATGTGTGTATGTAATTTTGGCAGCGCGAAGTGCCCCATGCGAGAAGTTGCCGGACGGCCAATGGAAAGGGAGATTTCCGTAACTTTTCCATTACACTCGCTAACAAATACTTAGCTAGTACATGCTCCCGACCATGTATTAAATTGTCGACCTCGCATATACTCTTCACATTTGTGTGAGCTGAATAGCCAAATATTTGGTGCGTTGACCAGTGCAGTCGCGGCGCTCGGAAGCGACAGACGCCTGCTACGCAAAATCGGCGAGTGCTATTTCCTCGTCAATGTCCTTCCAAGGAACTCCTGCTGAGTACCTTGGAACTCATATGAATGACGAGGCTCGCTTGAGATAGCTTCAAGTGCAGCGTGGCCTTGTCAATCTCGAGTCGGGTCACCACCCCGCTTTCCCGGAATATCATCACGAGTTACATCATTCGCAAATGTCGTATGGAGGCCTTAACCAGGTCGCGTCCCAGCACAACTCTGCGCGCTTGCCGACGGTGCCCATGGGGACATTGTCTAGGGGAGTCAAGGAATGCGAGCGAAAACGTGCTGGGCAATAGTAGTAATGTGCTCGAGGGCTAACGTAGCTTAAAAGTGAGCAATTTCTTACAATCCGTACGTCTGATAAAAGTTGTGTAAAGTGGGCCCAATGGCAAGTGAAATTAAGGAAATTTCTTAAGTTCTCCATAGAACTTAAGGAACTTTCCCAGCCGCTGGCCAATGGAAAGACCCTCTTTGTCTACTTCGTATCGGGCAAAGCTCTAGTCTGGGCCACGGACATTTTCGGGGAACACCGATCGGGCAAGAAGCTTTTGACGCGTGATTCTTTACGTGCTGCCTTTTTGTTGCAATATGGCGATACGCAACGCAACACGGCTATGGCCGCTCGCGATAGGTTGCATGCGAACGAACACGCCATGAAAGCAACTGAAACAGTGCCTGAATATACTCAACGTTTTCACGATATAATTCGTGAAGCGAAAGATATGAACCCTAGCGATCAAATCGGCTGGTACGTTAAGGGGTTACTACCACCTTTGCGCAGCCGGTGTGCGACAAGCGAAGAGGGCAAAGATTGGGACAGCTTAGATAAGCTAATCCTTTACGCTGTTGGGCAAGAGGTTCGGTGGCAGTCGGGCAAAGACAAGCCTACCGTCCATGCAGTTAGCGCTGACCTTAATGCGATCACTGCTAAAAAGCCCTTCAATAAATTTAAGCGTTCGTCCTCTGATCGCAATTCGCAGGGTTGGCAACCCGCCAATCGGCCCAAGAAGGCGC